TATAGCATTGAAGCGTAAACCCAAATATGAAAAAGTAAAATTTGATATTTTTAAGTCACCACCCTTTACCATTAGTTTTGTTGATTAGGGTTGCTAAAACCTAGTACGAATGATTAAATCATGACCACAAATAATCATTAAAATTTTATACATGGACTCATTTGATGGTTTACAAAAAAAATTCATAAGATAGATAAAAGATTCAATTCATCGATTCATCGTAACTTTTCTTTTATAAGCATAGCAATGTTGAACTTTTTGTACACAACGAATCACGAAATAAATACTTGATTTATAAAGACTGTGACGATGGATATAATAATATTATTGTGTAAAGGTTTAACACATATATAACTAAAAAAATTAAGCTAAGACACATATATTTATATCGATTTATAACTTCAATATGTTAATTATTTATCTTGAACAGTTTGAAATGATGAGTAATTATTCAATAATGAACTTGTAATTGTTGTCGAACTTTATTTCTTCTCTTGTCCATAGACATCATGCATGAAAAGTAACTTAAAACAATTTAATCGATGAGCTTACATTTGATTTTTTTGTTCTTGATCTTACGATTTTTTTTTTTATAGTAGGTGTCTTATTATTGATTACAGCTTGATTAAGAGTTAACTATGATAAATTAACATAATGTTTAACTCTGATAAATTAACGTAATGTTACAAAACTATAACAATACAATATATTGCATAACATATTAATTAGTTTATATAATCTAATACATGACTTTAAACCTACAAATATATATCAAAAGATCATTTTTGTTTTTGCAAATTAAAAAAAACTAAACCCTAAGTGTGGGGAGCCTTAACCCAAGGAGAGCCTTAACCCAAGGGAAGCCTTAACCCTAACAAACCAAACAAATCTATGGTTCAATTAGTTAAGCTACAGTAAAATCTAACTCGTATCTTTAGTGTTCAGATTGTTTTGGTTTCCCCTCTCGTAAATTATCCCTTAGACCCTTAGCTTTGTGTCTGACCTTGCGCGCTTCTTGTTTTCTATATACCTAACCGTCCATCTTCTTTCTCGTGTCCATGTCCATTGGCTTATGTTGTCTCGGGTCGATATAACCCAGCACCATCTACCACCGGGTAAATCAATTTTAATTTGGAAAACTTTTGTAAAACTTTTAGTTGAAATATGAAAAAAGGATCCAAAATTTTGTTTTTGTAAAGTCAAGTTCCCTCCCTTAGCTTAGCTTAGCTGCCATGGAAACTAATAAGTATATTGTTTTTGTTACGATCATTCTTGCTGTTCGACATCAGAAGCAGCCTCTAGGTCTAGGACATGGATTTGCATAACCCAACAGGTTTGGGTTTGGTGTTTTCCTCAAGTTTTAGATTGGTACCACTGAATAGTGATAAGCAAAACAACAATAAATAAAATAGGTCCAAACTTACTAGTCACACAAAATGGATTTGATAGAATATCATCAATAGCTTATTAATCTTGCACACTACCACAAATCATACACAAGTTCTGTTCTAAGCCATAGAAATCAACATCCGATGGGCACATACGTAGTACCAATTAGTTTGGGCTTTAATGAGCGCATGTAGTGAAGCAACGACAGGTCCTGAAGTCACACACACCGCAAAATGCTTTCAGAGTTTCACATGCAATGCTTCTGCCCATTTATACTTTTATTGTACCCTTTATTATTATTATTAAACCCCACACCACTTTCTATTATTCCCTCCGTTTCAAAATGTAAATTGTTTTATAGGTTTTTTTTATTTTAAAATGTAAGTTGTTTTGACAATCCTAGGTACTTTTTAATTTTATTAAATATTGTGTGACCACTAATATTTTTGTAGTCTTTTTGTGTTATTAGTCAAATTATTTTTATTAAATATATTAAATGATATTTTTTTAGTAAAAAAATAGTTTTTTAATATTCGCGATTTTAGCTAAAACAATTTACATTTTGAAAAAGAGAAAGTATCTTTTTCCTCTTATTCATGTGATTTGAATTTTTCCACATTAAATTGTTCCTCTACAGTAATAAATGTTGTAAAACAAAACCAAGTTAATACTACATTCTATGTTATGTAACATATACTCGTTGGAGTATAAAAAATGTAAAAGATAGCAAAAATAAGTTTACTCGGGCACTATAAAAGCGTATCCGTATGGTATTTTACTATATGTGGATCCCTAATTCGGATAATTCCCAAATGTTACTTTGTCACTCTTGTAACAAAGATGCTATTCTTTTTATAGTAACTGCCAAATTATTTTGAAAATTGTGGATGACTTTGGATTAGATTAAAAAATTATCTAATGTTCTTATAGATGATATATTGTTTTGATTTATGAAAAGGGAATTTGTTTTGGTTAATTATGGAAATAAATTTATCAACAATTTCACCATTTGTGATAGTTGTAGTTCTGTGTTAAAGACTCAAGGCAAGACAGGAGGTGGTCTGTACTTTATGTTCATGTTGTTTATTGATGGTGGGTTATATAAATGATAAGAGCTAAACTGAACACACATACTATTCTAATTGTTTATTATCAGGTGAACCTTACGTTAATCCAAAGGTGGATACCATAGTGAAACACAAATGTTTGGGAGAACTTCTAAGGTCAAGACAGAGACCGTGTCTATCTATACTGTTTCAGAATCCGCCAAGACCGCTGATGCGAAGAGCCTCTGTGCTGCTCCAGAATCCGCCAAGACCGTCTCTGATGCAAAGAATCTCTGTCCTACTCCAGAATCCACCAAAACTGTATGTGCTGTTCCAGTTTCGTACGTTTCTATCTCATAAAACTATCTCCAAGAATCTCGTGTACTTCTTCGGCATTGTTTCCTCGAAGAATTATCTTCACAAG